CAGAGAATTCATTCAAGGTAAATTGGGTGGCTCCCTGGTCTGTTCTAAGGACAATAGGAATGCCCTCCCTAAAGTGTTTCCAGGTGCTGCCTATTCACCCAGGCTCCTCTTTTCCTGAAGAACTTGGGCTGGGCAGCTGACACAATGGGAATCCTCCCTTTCCTCCCTCCATTTGAGGCTAGGCGCTAAAAGGTATGTTAATTAAGCTTGAGAAACCATGTTGGGTCTTGAGATTCGAACCTGCGGAAGTATGATGTAAAGTTGCCTAAATGTCTGGAAAAATAAGATTGACAGTTGTACCTTGTCTTAGCCCCTCCTAACTTTGTGTAAAATACCTCCCCTAAATAAAAGGAAGGCGCAGAACAAATCCAGGTGCATTACGACTGGCAAGAGGTGCCTAACAGCATGCAGGGGGCACAATCCAGCCTTGCAACCATACTGCCTGTTCAGCTATGCAGGATATTACGGCCTCTGTGGCTGAGATGTTTGCAATGCAGGATCTACCTGATGCCAGTCCAGCATTCACTCTGGTTTCGGAGTGTCTCTTTGTCTCTCTCTTTGCGTCTCTATGTCTCTTTTGCTATCTCTATCGCCGCTGGATCTCCCCGGATCTCCCCTCCTCGTGAACCAAACACTCAAGAACACAACTATGTGGAGGCAAGTCCCCGGCACTCCCCATTTCTGCTTGCAAGCCTCTTTCCTATATAAACCTTTGCACCTATGGAAACTATGATTCTTCTGACTAGTCTTAATCAGTTGTTGTTGTTGTTGTTTAAGTGCCATCGAGTTGGTTCCGACCCATAGCGACCCTGTACAGGGTTTCCGAGGGTATAAATCTTTACGGGAGTAGAAAGCCTCATCTTTCTCCCACGGAACGGCTGGTAGTTTCGAACCGCTGACCTTAAGATTAGCAGCCCGACTCATAACCACTACACTCACTACCAGAGCTCCTTAATCAGTAGAAGATAATATTTTAAAAAGTAAAGGATGAGAACAGCTGGAACCTAATGGTAGAAGTGTTTTGGTTGGTACTTTCTTATAAAGTTAAACATACACCCAGTGATCAGCAATTCCACTCCTGGTTATTTCTTTTTATTTAAAAAGAAATGAAAACCTATGCCCACAAAAAGTCTGCTACAAAAATGTTCAGAGCAGTATGGATTGCACCTCAATGTAAAGAAAACAAAAATCCTCACCACCGGACCAATAAATAACATGATAAATGGATAAAAGACTGAAGTTGTCAAAGACTTCATTTTGCTTGGATCCACAGACACTCATGGAAGCAGCAGTCAAGAAATCAAACATAATGCACTAGGCAAATGTGCTGCACAAGACCTCCTTAAAGTATTCAAGAACAAAGATGCCAGTTTGAGGACTAACATGTATCTGACCCAAGCCATATATGCATGTGAAAGTTGAACAGTGAACAAGACAGCAGAATTGATGCATCTGAATTATGGTGTTGGAGAAGAATATTAACAGTACCATGAACTGCCAGAAGAGCAGACAATCTATGTTGGGAACAAGTGCAGCCAAAATGCTCCTTGGAAGCCAGAATGACCAGACTTTGTCTCACATACTTTGGATAATTTATCAGGAGGGACCAGTCCCTGGAGGACATTATGCTTGGTAAAGTGGAGATCAGTGAAAAGAGGAAGACACCCACCCACACATGAGATGGATTGGCACAGTGACAGCAGCAATGGGCTCAAGCATAGCAAAGATTATGAGGTGGGCACAAGACTGGGCAGTGTTTCTTTCTGTTGTGCATAGGCCCCTATAAGTTGGCTCAGACTCAAGGGCACTTAACAACAACATGCACGGTTTTTATGAACACTTTGAATACCATTATGACCTTCTGCTTAAGCTCTCCCTCATCCAGATGATTTGTCTTTGTGTTGTCCTGTTAAAAACTTAATAAACGGGTCTTTGTAAAATATATTTGAATTGGGGATCTTTTTTTCTTCCCAGAACACTGTTAAATAGTAAGGAACAATTAGAAAACGCATCTAAAAGATCCACTTTACCTCTCTGGCATTCACAGTCAATTATTATTTAAGGAAGAGCCCTAATAAACCATACCTGCTGCCATCAGAATGGATTCCCGCCCACAGCAACCCTGCAGGACAAAGTAGAACACTCCTTAGGATTTCTGAGACTGTAAATCTTTATGCAAACAGATAGCCTCATCTTTTTCCCCAGGAGCAGCTAGTAGGTTTGAACTGCTAACCTTGCAATTAGCAGCCCAACAATGCCTATCCAACAGAGCTACCAGGGATCCTTAAAGCTATTTCAGATAAAAGTCCAGAGCCTTTATAGTGTACTCTTGTTTGAAATATCTGCCTAGAACCCTCCCTGTTTTTTTCTAAAAACTCTCCACTTTTCTGATAACTGACCTCACTTCTTCCAGTAACTGGAATGTTCATTCAATAGGAACCGAGAGGTTCCGAGCTTCTTCAGTGACCAAGGCTCCTCAGTCACAGAACAGTCACTAAAATGTTCACATAAGCCAAAGTTAGAGATATCCAAATTATATCTAAAAGTTATGAGGGAAATTCACTAGTTTTAAAAAGCCTAAATTGATTTGAGAAATGTAAAAGCTCTTTCATAAGTATTATCTGTACTTAATCCGAGGTTTCTACATTTTAAGTTTACATAAAGTGGCATTTTTATTCATATCTGCTGGGAAGCTTTCTATTTATCTTTCAAAGGCCATATATTTCCAAGTACTAAAGGAGCTGTGGTAAAGTAGTGGTTACGAATCAGGCAGCTAATCTTGTGGTCAATAGTTCAAAATTACCAGCTGTTCCGCGGGAGAAAGATGAGGCTTTCTGCTCCCATAAAGATTTACAGCCTCAGAAACCCTGCACAGGGTCGCCATGAGTCGGAACTGGCTCCACAGCACATATTAGCAACAACAACAAAATCAGGAACAGCAGCAATTACTTTCTACAAAGAATGTCCTCCAACAGCAGCAAAGCAAGTACTCACTCTCCTTTTATCACACCAATAATGTCTAGTGGGATTACAGCCAACAGGGCTCAAGTAGATTTATCTTTACTGTGGATCATGTAGTACATTTGCCTAATGCAGTGCCCTACATTTTTACAAATTACATTCACTGATGCACTTTCGAGTCTGCAGAATTGAACATTTTTAAGGAGGACTCAACAGTTGTAGAAAACACTACTTTAATCGTAAGTAAATACACTAACTATATTTGAAGCCACCTATCACGATGCTTTATTTTAAATTTGTTTAAAGAATTCCTTGGCTTTTAGAAAAATTAGAGCTGAACCAACACACCAATCAATGTTTGACTTGCATTCACAGTGCACAATAAAAACCCACACATACCAAACAACTGTTTGAAAGCTTTTAAAGCCCAATCTTTCTATTGTGTGGCCATGATACAGTAGTTGATCAAATAAAACTTTTAACTATAAATAGCACAGAAAACACCATGAGGATTGGGGTGGGGTTGGGGGGATGTTTTGCTTAAACTGGTACAACGAATTTTATTTCATAGTCTAATGTCTATGGTATCAAAAACTCACAATATTAAAAATGAAACAAAAACAGGCTGAAAATTTTCTCACTGAAAAGTTCTATGCGCCATTTTACTACCATTTTAAAGACATTTTCGCTCTGTGCAGTGATGTTGTTACGCGCCGTCGAGTCGGTTCCGACCCATAGCGACCCTGTATAGGGTTTCCGAGGACCTGCTGCTGAGCTTGAACCGCCGACCTTGCAGTGATAGGCATCGCCAAAAGGCTCAAGAGTTAACTCATGATGTCACAAAACCAAAAATGAAGTGGGACCCAACTGCTTTGGTGCAGTCTAGGGATGCATCAACCTAGAGCAGTCACCGGGCAAGATTCCATTAAGTTTCCTCGTTGAACCTAATTATCACTGCGCCCCTTAAAATAAGATCTTTAATTGAAAAAAAAAAAAAAAAAACTCGGATTTGCCTGCAGAGTCTGTGAAGGAGCAAGAATCACCAGCAAATGGGCAGGAAAAGAGGTGAGTGGGTGTAAAATGGCTTCCCCCCAGCCGCAATTCACAAGTAAATCTCTTCCCACAGTAAAGCCTTTCAAACAAACAGGTGAGGGGAAAGCACTCACTCCAGGAACAAGAACTTCCAGCCATAGCTAATCTGCATCAGAATGTGCAAATGAGGGCTTCTAAAGCAAATGTTTCCTTCCGTACCCACTCTGGCTCCAAACAACAAAGCAAATCAAAAGATCTGGCACTGAGAATAGGTATTTCAATTCTTCAGCCACACAGGTAGTAAAATATATAACACCTCCGAAGATATACTTGACACAAATCGCGACTGATAGCGACCCTATGTCAGAGTAAAACTGCTCTCATTAGATTCCTCAAGCTGTAAATATTAATGGAAACAAGACTTCCACCTCTTTATCCTAAGGAGCAGTTGGTGAGTTTAAAAAAATCAACCTTTCAGTTTGCAGTCGAGTGCTTTAATCACTGCGCCACAGGGCTCCTGAAAATATGCCCAGTCACCTCAAAGCCGCTGCCTGGGCCCGTCGAAGCCCAAAGCCAAATGGATTTTGAAAAATAAACGAAGGAAAGGAAAGCACGTGCTCGGCAGATAGATCAGTTATCTGGGCAGCAACTGTGCTTCCACCAGAAAACACCTCAGCCGGAGACCCGCTCTCTGCACTGTCCGAAGCGTCCAGGCGCTTTTTCCTTCCCTCCAAGTCCCCACTCCACTCCCACTAAATACTCCTAACTTCGGGTCCCGATCGCATCCCCCCACCGTCTCGGCCTCAGCCACCGGTTGGCCGAGCCGCGGGGAACTGCGGGCAGGCTCTCGCAGAGAATGAAGTTTCTAATAATGCAACTTGAGGTGGGTGAGTGCCGCCGTCACCCCAGCGCGAGGCCGAACCAGTCACCAACTTGGGGGCCTTCGCGCCCGCCTCGCAGGCGCCCCGACCTAGGCAGCTGCGCCCTCCCGGCCTCGCCGCGCTCACCAGGTACCAGACGCCGAGCAGAATGGTGCCAGTGCGGACATGGCAGCACAGGCAGCAGCTGTTGGAGTAGAACCGCATCCAGGGCGCTACCATCTTCATCGCTCGGGCCACGGGCGCAGTTGCGCGAGTGCGCGCCCAAGTTTGCAGGAACGTCGTTGGCGTAGCTTTGGCCTCCTGGTTCGCCCGCTGCCGGCTCCTTCGCCGCTCCGGCTTTTCCCGGAATCGCCCACCCGCAGGCCCTGGCTTCGCGCTTCCCTCGAGAGCTCCGGCCGAGAGTCTAACCGCGGCGGGCGGGATGCTGCGCTCGGAAGGAGGCGGGGCGGCCAGCGGTCCACGTGATCTGCGCAGAGCTAGTGATGTCACCGCGGGCCGGAGCCAGCTGCTGGCGCGGTGAGCCCAGTGTAAATGAATCCATGGTCTTGGCTCCGGGTCGGGTTCCAGACTCAGCAAGCTGTGGAGTTTCGGGCCTTACGTCTGTAATTAGGTTGTATGTGTAACTCTGCAGTGGCTTAGCGATTCTTTTACAATCTACTTCGTTGGGATTTCAGTCGTCTTCTATCTTTCAGATAGCCCGTAGATGCAATGCTATTACTGTTATTTTGTTAACTTAGTGTGGGTGCTGGTGGGTATAACTGCATGGTGTGATTCCGAACAGCTGCAGTACTTTGAACCACTATTGAAGCCGCTAAGAGCCATTAGTCTCAGCTTCCCAGGTTACTGTGGTAATAATCGTATTCCAGTAAATATGCTTTGTTATCAAGGACATCCTCGCTGTAGCATTTTTAATCATGAGTACAGCTCTGAAGAAACCATCAAACCAATTACTCCCACAAGGTCTCTGCAAAACAAAGCACATTGCTGCCCTAAGACATGCTAGTAAGATACGACTCTAGTTTAGGGTCTATTTCCTCCCATCGGGTGTTTATCTTTCAACTAATTTTCTAGGTTAATCTCTGACCACTATTAAAGCCAAGCATTCAAGACACGTTACTTTATCAACACGTGTGTTTTATTTCAGACTTGAAGCAAGAGAAAAACTGGTTCAATTTAAATTTATTAAGGACTGGTTGTTGTTAAGTGCAATGAGTGGGTTCCGACTCATAGCCAGCCTGGATATGATTTCCGAGGTGCGACTGGGGTGTTTGAACAGCCTACCTTGCAGTTGAAACCCACCTTAAAATTCAGTGCTTACTTGTCCTACAACGCCACACCATGACTCCCAGGACAGGTTGTTGTTATTGTGTGCCACTGAGTCCCTTCCAACTCAGTCAAAATTGTATAGGGTTTCAGAGGAGCAGATGGTGGGTTTGAAGCACCGACTTTGGTTCACAGTCCAGTGCTTATTCTACAGCTCCACACCAGGAATCCAAGGACTGCTCAAGTAGAAAGAAAGCAGTGGAATCTTGAATAAGGCTATTTAAGGGCAAGATTGGTTGCTTTTATGAGGCTGTAAACCTGTCACATTCTTAATGCTAATCAACCTTGGATCAAAAGGGACCCAACAGTCATCCCTAGAGATATCAAATGTGAGTCCTTAATCAGAAATAATACATCATCATGAGCATTAATCAAAAACACTGGACAAGCTATTGCATAGTGCCTCCGGTCTTGAAAGTTTTCAGAACAGCCATGCAAGGTGCAAAATTTGGGCTTTATTTGCCTGGAGCAACCAAGGAAATTGGAAAGTCCAGAAAAGGAGGAGGAAATTGGCTTTATGAGTGAGGAATGGCCTCCAGGATTAACTGCTTCCTTTGTATGAGACCAGAAAAACTGGATGGTGCCTGCTATAGTTGTTAAATGCCTTCCAGTCATTTCCAACCCATAGGGACCCTATGTACAACAAAAGGAACAACGCCTTGTCCTGTGCCATCTTCACAATTGATGCTACACAATTGCTGCTGCCACTGTGCCAATCCATCTCATTGAGGGTCTCCTTTTTCACTGTTCCTCCACTGTGTTAAGCATGATGTCCTTTTCCAGGAATTGGTCCCTCCTTATAATATGGCCAAATGAGAGACCAAGTCTGGCCATCCTGGCTTCTAAAGGAACATTCAGGTTGTACTTCTTCTAACATAGATTTATATGTTCATCTGGTGGTTCATGGTACCTTTACTATTCTTCTCCAACACCATAACTCAAATGCATCAATTCTTCTATGGTCTTCCACATTCACCATTGTCCAACTTTCATGCATATGAGGCTATTAAAAATATCATGTCTTGGGTTAGGTGCAAACTGACATATTAGGTTAGGTTAGACCTAAACCAACATATTTGCTCTTGAACACTTTAAAGAGGTCTTTTGCAGCAGATTTGCCTAATACAATACAAATCCTTTGATATCTTGACTGCTGCTTCCATGAGTGTTGATGGTGGATCTGAACAAAATGAAGTCTTTAACAACTTCAATCTTTTCTCCATTTTTCATGATGTTATTTACTGATCCAATGGTGAGGATTTTATACTGAGGTGCAACCCATACCAAAGGCTGTGGTCTTAGAACCTCATCAGTAAGTATTTTAAGTCCCCTTCCCTTTTTGCAAATTAGGTTGTTTCATCTGCTTATCACAGGTTGTTAATAAGTCTTCCTACAATCATCAGACCACGTTCTTCTTCATATAATCCATCTTCTCGGATTATTTGCTCAGCATATATTGGTGCCTGTTTACCATTACTAAATGTTTTGATAAAAGATTATAAAAAATCCTGATCAAAAGGGGATATGTGACCAAAAGAGACCTACAAAAATGGAAAAATGTACCATACTCCTGGATGGGAAGACTTAACATTGTGAAAATGTCAATAGTTCCCAAAGCAATTTACAGATATAATGAAATCCCAATCCAGATTCCAACAACATCTTCAAAGAGATGGAAAAAACAATTACAAACTTTATATGGAAAGGAAAGAGACCCAGAATAAGCAAAGCACTGCTTAAGAAAAAGAATAAGGTTGGAAACCTCTCACTCCCCAACTTCAAAATTTACTACATGGCTACATAGGTCAGAACTGCTTAGTACTGGTACAATGAAAGATACATTGATCAATGGAAAAGAATAGAGAAGCCAGAATTAACCCATCCACATACAGCCAACTGATTTTTGACAAAGCACCTAAATATCACATGGGGGAGGTGATAGTCTCTTCAACAGATGGTGCTGGCAGAAATGGAAAACGATATGCAAAAGACTGAATAAGACCTTCACCTCATACCTTATGCAAAAACCAACTCAACATGGATTAAAAACCTAAATGTGAATCCCAGAATTATAAAGGCCATCAATGAAAAAATCGGGACAAATGTGAGGGCACTAATTCAGGGAATACATAGACTACAAAACATTTTGAAAATTACACAAACAAAAGTAGACAAAATAGATGATTGGGACATACTAAAAATTTAAAACTTAAGTGCATCAAAAGACTTTACCAGAAGAATAAAAAGGGAGCCCACAGAATGGGAAAAAATCTTTTGCAATAACACATCAGACAAGGGACTTATTTCTAAAATATATAGGAAACTACAACACCGCTATAAGAAAAAGACAACCCAATTAAAAAATGGGCACAGGACATGAACAGACACTTCACCAAGGAGGAGATCCAGGCAGCCAACAAACATATGAAGAAATGTTCATGATCACTAGCCATCAGAGAGATGCAAATCAAAACAACAATGAGATATCATCTCATACCAGCAATTATAGCAAAGTTAAAAAAAACTAGAGGACAATAAACACTGGCGAGGATGCGGAGAGACTGGGATGCTCCTGCATTGCTGGTGCGATTGCAAAATGGTCCAACCTCTCTGGAAAGCAATATAGCACTTCCTCAGAAGGTTGGAAATAAAAATACCTTATGATCCAGCAATTCCTCTACTTGGTATTAACCCACAAAAAATATGAGCCATAACACCAGTAGATATATGCATACCAATGTTCATAGCAGCACTATTTACGATAGCAAAAAGATGTAGATAGCCTAAGTGCCCATCAATTGAAGAATGGATAAACAAACTGGTACATACACACAATGGAGTATTATGCTACCTTGAAGAATAACAAGGAAACTGCAAGCCATCACATAACATAGATGAACCTTGAAGACAGTATGTTGAGTGCAATTAGTCAGTCACAAAAGGAGAAATAATGCATAGGACCACTATTGTAAAAGACTAAGAAAAAGAACCTATACTAAAGGTGGGGGGATTCT